ATCTGAAAATTTTAAAATTTAAAAAAAATTTTATTTTGAGTTAAAAAAATTTTTTAAAGTTTTATATAAAATTTAATTTTTGAAAAAAATAGTTTAAATAGTTTTTATAAAATAGTTTAAATAGTTTGCATTTCAATTTAGTTCAATCTTATAAAATATTTAATTTCCGAATTTATAAAAATTTTTTAAATATTTTTGAGTTTTCAAACATTTAATTTCTTTGCACTGAATCAAATTCTTTTAAATTTTTAAATTTTTATAAAACATTTTTCAATTGAGTTTAAAAAAATTTAAAAATTTTTATAGTAAATTTAATTTTTGAGTTAAAATAATTTTTTTATTTTTTTATAAAAATATATTAATTTTTGAGTAAAAAATATTGTTTTTTGAGTTAAAAAAATGTTTTAAAATTAGTATAACACATTAATTTTTGAGTTTAAAAAAATGTGAAATTTTTATAAAGAATTTAGTTTATGAAAATTTTATTAATTAATTTTTAAAATAAAATTTTTGAGTTTAAAAATATTTTAAATTTGTATAAAAAATGTGAGTTAAAAAGAATGTTAGGTTTTACTTAATTAATTTGATTGAATATATGAAACATTTAATTTTTGAGTTTATTTTGAGTTTTGTTCAAACTCAAACATTGAATTTAAATAAATATTTTTTTTTAAATCCAATTTTTTTACAATATTAAAATTGTTGAAATATATGTAATTTTGAATTTTGAAATTTTTTTTACAGAAATTGCGAAACGCCATGTGCTTTTTCGCCAGCTCTACTTAATAAAACAACCTTCAAACGTGTGCACACTGCGAAATAAATTTTGGTACATGCGTACATACTTACTATCTACATGCATAAATATTATTTGCAAAAATTACCATGTGTGCTCATAGGTACACTTGAGTTGAACGCGCACACAAACATTTTGCTATGCTTTTCACTAAACGCTGCGTATATTTTTCTTCATTTTTTGCTAATTTCAGTTGTATATATAAATTAAAATTTTTTTTCTTGTTTTTATTTGCGCTATTTTTTTAAACATTTTTTGTTGCCAAGCGTGGTGTGTTGCTCTGTACGCGTTGGCAAAAAAGCTTACGCGATCTCATCTATGCATACATATACATATACAATATATATGTACATATATATATGTATTTATATATATTTTTCATGCAAAAGATTTTTTATAAGTATTTTATTATATGTGTTTTATTCTAATTTTTTTTACGTGCTTTTTTTTTGCTTTTGCATTTGCAAAATTGAAGCTTAGTCAGCAGCATTAGAGTGAGCGCTGCGTTGCGGCTCTCAAAAGTGCTGAGCAAGAGTGTTTTCTCTGTACAATTTACGCTCAAACTCACTGACTAGCGGTGAGTAGGCGTTGTAAGAGTGCAACACATGATTGTGTGTCGCAGAAAATTTCTGCAAACTCTTTCATATGCCGTTTAACTATAAAATTTATTTAATTTGCCGTACTTTACTCGCCTACAGCGCGCTCTGCTAATAATTAAGCAGCGCAGAGACACACGCGGCTGTAGTCAGCGCTTCTCTTAGTAACACTCCGCTGATTTATCGCACCTCTGAGCTGGCGCTCTTCTTAGTTATCACTCCTACGATTTAGCGCTCTTCTTAGTCAGCGCTTCTCACATTTTTCACTACTCTTCTTTAGCGCTTATAGGAGCACTACTCGTTGTTGCGTTCAGCGCTTTTGGCCCCCCTAATATATTACTGCACTTGCCCCAACACAATTGCCCCAGCTTTCGTACCCCAACAGTTCCAATTTCAGCGCGCCACAAAGCTCTCATACATTCCACTTTCTATTATACAACTCCCACACCCATTCGCTGGCGCTCTTTCTGGCTGTCTATCTCTCTTTTTTGTGTTTAGCGTACACTCTTTGCTCATACAAAATCAATTAGTCGTTTTTCAAACCTTCAAGGCATTCAGTTCATTTCTTTGTCTAGCATTTCATGCTTAAGCTCTTTGTTCGAAATGCCTCTGCGCATCGAAGAGCATGCTCTAGTTTGCTAATTTCTAATTGAGTATGCGTCATTTTCATATATTTAACGCTGCGCACTCTAGAATCTAGTGTTCCATGAAATTCCACAACATTTTCTGTTAGCAACCAAATTTTTTCGCATAGCCTTCCCCACATAATCTATGCCCCAAAATAGTTTTTATTGTTTCTTTTCAAATACGTTTGCTCGTAAAGAAGATTTCCCCAACTGAAGCTTCATAATCTCTCGACATTTTTTGTGCTCTCCAAATACCGTAAGCGCAAAGCTATAAAATTAAAATTTTTTCAATTTGAGCTCTTTATATTTATGATTTTTTTAAAGAACTCAGTCTGAAAACTTATGCATTTTCTGTTTAACTGTGTATCCATTTGCTACTAGCTCTATCTGTTAGCTGCATGAAAAGCTCTTTTACAAACTTATATATTGCTAAAAAATGTTCAGTTTACGTTTTATCATATTGACATTCTATATAACTTCAAATGTAAAACATTTGCTTTCTTCGCCTCGAGAGATCATTAACACTTTTATGAAGTTCAAAATCGCATTCGTACATATTTTGAAAGCTTTCCAACGCGTAGGCCATTAAACGCATAATTTTAATACCTCAGCGCTGCTAGTTCACCAACACACCAATATATAAAATATAAAAAAACAGACACAACAATACTTACATATAAACTTCCAGCATGTTTATATGTGCTTATGTAGCTTTAAAAGCTTTCCCTAACCGCCTTTGTTTGCCAGCCATTTCAGCAGCAACGCATTCGCCCCATCAACTGTCCCACACGTTGATTAGCGCAAAAGCTGCCACATACTATGCAGTGTTCTCTCTAAAAGCTTTCTTTTCATAATATATATATATATATATACAAGCGTTCTCTTGAATTCCACCAAACTTGTGCACGCCTTGCCGCTCCACCGCCATTTTGCAGCTTTTTTTCAGCGTGATCGCCAAGAAAGCTCAAGTTATACCCACACGGCAATCAACAAAATGGTGAGCGTAGAGCTTTCGGTAAAAAAAAAGTGTTCTTGTGATGTGTTTTGTTGTGCTTTTGCGCTCATATTTTCACACACACTCACTCACTCACACTCTTGCTCTTTCTCTCTTTCTCTGCTTCAGCGTTAAGATCACTCACCTACACTTTGCTGTGCAAAAATAATTAACTTTGCATGTGTGCGCTAACAAACTCACGCTCTTATTTTCTCTCTCATTGTCACGCTCACCCACACTTCTAAGCTTACTGCGTGCGTGTGCGTGCGCCTTCTGCCGCCCACAAGTGCAGACATTTTCTTGTGCTTGTGTTTGTGTGAGTTCGTTAACTGTTCATTTGTATTAGTGTGCTCTTTCCGCTTAAGCATGCTCTCACGCCGTGTTCTCATCTCGGCCATTCGTATTTTTTTCTTTGTGTGTGTGTGTGTATGCCGCTCCATTCAATTTTTCTATTGCTAATTTGTTTTGTGCATTTTTGCTTGTGTTTGTTGTTATTGTTTAAATTAGTTGTTGCTTTGGTTTTGCATAGCGGCGCGCACATTTGCTGTCTTCTTTCTACCAGCTATGGTGGCGTTTTTGCAAAAACAAAAATGCGTCAAATGCCGCCATTATAATAAATACAACACATGTAATTAAATTTGTAAACACAAATGAAAATTTGCAATTATATATTTTGATATTAAAAAAAAAAATTCAATTATAAATAACAAAATACTTAAAAACTATTTTTAAAACTTTTCTTTCTTAAAAATTTTGTATTAAATTATTTTAAAAAAAATGTTATTTTAAATTGTAATAAAATATTAAAAAAAAAATTTTGAGAATTTTTTTAAAACTATTTTTTTAAGATTTTTAAAGATTATAATTATTTTTTTTTAAACTATTTTTTAAAGTTTTCGCAAAAAAATTTTTTTTTAAATTTATTTTTTAAAAGATTGTTTCCATTTAAAAAAAAAATTTCAATTTTTTTCACAAAATTTTTTTAGTTAATGCATAAGTATGTATGTACATACAGTATAGCTAAATACATAGGTAGAGTGGGTATCTAAGGACGCACCTATGCCTTTGGGAGCCCATTGTGAACGCACAGCGACTAAAATCCACTCATTCCATTATGTCCTCTCTGAACCAACCTGTGCTCCTGATAAAGTTCATCATTACAAAAAGTTTTATTTGTGCAACCTCCGAAACATCATAAAGAAACCGTCGGCCATAGTTGCAATTCCTTTACTATACCAAGCCTTGTATTCGCTTATAATATATTTTAAAGTCTCTTCTTCTTCTACCTCCTGACAGCTTTTATAATAGTCAGCTTCTATAATGGTCTGGTAGCCACACTTTGCTTCTCGAATAACTTTTCAAAAAGAAGTCAGGCCGAGTCAAATCTGGAGATATTAGTGACCTGTCATTGTCCGCTTGACAATATACTTTTTCTTAACGATACTTTATGTGGTAAAAAATCAAATAAAGCTTCAAAATACTCGGCAAGTGGTTCCACTGACGTCAAAATACCGACTGCGGCGCGGTAAGAATCTTGTAAGTTCTGAGCAGTACCCTCTCTGACAGCTTCGAATAGTTCATTAGCGCGTGCGATCTCAAGAACACCAATGAACTGTAGACCGAAGTCAAGCGAATGGGGTAAACTGCTAGACCCACCAGCAATGATGTAATCTTAATAAAAGTGGAAGATTCATGAAACATAATCTCTCAAAAGGTGCCAGGACTCTAAGTCAAGACGTTGATCGACCGTTATTTTTAAATAAAACTGAGCTAAATATTAAAAGCAACTAAATATTGAATCAAAAAGCAAATTATTTATTTATTTCAGTTAATTTTTATTTTATTTTTCTTTACAAAATAACCAAATATTGTACAAAATAATATTTTTCTTTACAGAAGAACCTCAATTTTGTTTTATTTTTACAAAACAAAAGCACTAAAAATAAAAATTTGTTAGCCATTAAAAATGAAAATGTTTTTTTTTCCAGATGTTGAAGAGCTGCTGTGCTATTCTTGGATTAAATAAAGGGAACTCGAATAAAGCTTGCCCTGGACTTGTTTAGATCATCAAAGTGCTATTATTTTTGGCGGCACTGTATGTATGCACACTTCTCAGCTTTCCCGTCAGACCAAGGCAATTGAAGTCCCGCGAAAGTCACGTTATTTCCTGAACAGATAACGGAAGTATTTAGTCCAAAAATAGCAATAAAAAACTTGGGGTTAAGCACGTAAATGAAACAAGTCGAAAGTAAACACACAAAAAAAGTAAAACGAAACATAAAATTTATAAATTTGCAAAAAAATGTTAACACAAATGGAAAAAATAAATGCCACAAATGCAAAAATTTGCAAGTTTTTTCTTAAAATGTTTTGAATAATTTATATAAAAATCAGTAAATTTGCAAAAATGCATTGCAAATTGCATGGAATGCTAAAATTTGTAAATAATTTTTTTTCATAAATTTTTTTAAATAATTTAATTAAAAATCTGTAAATTTGAGGAAATTTTTAAATACAAATGTAAGTTTGACATAAATGCAAAAATTTGCAATTTATTTTTTTTTTAAATTTCTAAAACTTTTTTTCATAAATGTTTTATTTTAATATATACATTAAAAATTAATAAATTTGCAGAAATTTTTAAACACAAAAAAAAATTGGCATGGAATGCAAAAATTTGCAATTCACTTTTTTTAAACTTAAAAATTTTTTTTTTTCATAAAGTTTTTTTAAAAAATTATATAAAGATCATTAAAGTTGTAAAATTGTTAAACACAAGTAAAATTTGCAAGGAATGCCAAAATGTTTAAGTATATTTGCGATTTTTTTTCACAACATTTTTTTTAAAAATACCTATGCATATAAATCAGTAATTTATAAAATTTGTAAGCACAAATGAAAATTTACAAATAATGCAAAATATTGCAATGTTCTAAATTTCTTACTTTTTTTTTCAATATATGCTGTACATATGTACATATATAAAAATCAATAAATTTTAAACACAGTTGTAAGTTAGCAAGGTATGCGAAAATTTGCAATTTTTTTTAATGCTTTCGAATTTTTTTTCATACAATTTTTTTATACTCAACCTGTTGCAATAGAGTACAGTAGTTTTGTTCACTAACGGTTGTTTGTATCACCTCAAACTAATCGAGTTAGATATAGCGTTATATACATATATATAAATGATCAGCATGAAGAGACGTGTTGCAATCCGGGTGACTGTCTGTACGTCCGTCCGTCTGTGCAAGCTGTAACTTGAGTAAAAATTGAGATATCTTTATGAAATTTGGTACACATTTTGCTTGGTACCGTAAGACGGTTGGTTAGCAAATATAAACACCATTTTTTTTTAATGGAAAATTAAATTTTTAATCCAAAATTTGCAATTAGAAAATTAGCAACCCTGCATAAAATACACAAATAATTAATTATTAAATATTTTAATTATTAAACATAAATACAATATATTAAAAGTAAAGGAAAATCAAACATAAATAAATTATTAATTTCACGAGAGTAAAAAAAAAATAACGGTTCAACACTAACTTGTATCAGTTACAACACATTAACCTCAATCGACACAATCGTCGGCCGCCGCCGTACATGCGCTTTTCACAGCTGTTGCAACAACACCAACAAACAATGCCACACACCGCAAAAACGCAAGCGATGGCGAGAGAAAAAATCGCTTATTATTTAATATTTAATACAAACAACCGCAGGCAGACAACAACATAGCTGCGACACAAAAATGCCTGCGCATACTTACATATGTGCATGTGTGCGTGAGCATATAAAATGTCAAACTGTCAATAACTGCCAGCAGGCAAAATTATTGGAATTATCAACGGCGCATGCGCGTATACTAAAATACCCGCTAAGGCTGTTGGCGTACTTACTGTTGTTGCTGCGAATGTAAACGACAAGCGTAATCAATTTGCGGTAATTAATTTGTGACAAAAAGAGCATGAGGAGGCTGTAAGAAAAAAATTGATTGTTACAAATTCAAAAAACAACAAAAAAAAGAATATAAAAAATACAAAAAAAAATTTGCCAAAAAATTAAAAAAAATATACATTTTTTTTTAAATTTAATAGCTAAAAAAGTGCCACAAAAACGAGTAACTTGTAACTTACACAAAAAGTAAAAAAAAAAATTTTTTTAGTTTAAATAATTAAAAAAAAAAAATATTGCTGTAAAATTGCCACAAAAACAAGTTACTTGTAACTTACACAAAAACTAAATTTTTTTAAAAATTTAAAAAAAAAAAAGTTCGCTAAAAAGTGCCACAAAAACGAGTGTAAAGTACGCTAAATTAATACCGAAATTGTGCAGCGCCTATTTTTGTTGTTGTTTTCTTTTATTGCGCTACTCTTATTTATTTTATTTTATTTCATTTTCTACTTTGCCGTTTTCTGTTGTGCTTGTTGTTGGCGATATTGTGTGGCACGAGCGACGACCACTTAATGCATGCCATGCCAACGGCTGAGTTGCTGATTTTTATTGCTTCGTTTTTGTTGTTGTAGGTTTTTGGTGAATTGCATGCACCTGTTTTTGTGTCGGCAACCGACAGCAGACATACATACACAACTATATGCATATATACGTGCGCGCAGACAGACAGCAGCTACGCAGGCTGTAATGCAGCCTCTTAAGGATATCGACTTAATTGCGTCGGACTATAGCACATACATATATACAGGAATATACATACACACATACACAGGTATGAGTATACACTTCTGCGAATCTGTCTGCTTACATATCTGTTGGCTATCATGCCACTTGGCTATCGGCGGCACGCGTCAAGGATACATTTGCGATTTCACTTCGTATGCGGCGCGTGTGAGTTAACATGTGCGTAGTTGAGCGCTACAGCTGGGACAATAGGTCGTTTACGAATTTGGAGCATACTGTAGAGATCACAGGCAAATGGGTTTTACTGACGTTTTGTATGCAGAGCTAATACTGCAATAAGCTGGTTGGGTCAAAGACACTTTAAAACTCAATTCTGTGTTGTTGGTAGTGGATACCTTGCCACGGGCAGGAAGTCCAATATCTGTGCTCATTCTCACTGAGCTGAAATATAATTTAGAGGTTATTTGACAGAAATATACCGAAGGTATCATATATGCAGACCTTGACTTATGAAGTCTATACTCTTTCACTTTTATACTGGACCGGTATGTGCTTTAAGTCCATAACACTTATTCGAAGTCATTGTAAACTGAAATTATTCAGTATCTGAGCTCCCAGCTTAAGCCCCTTTGAGAAAGTTGCCTAAATTCAATATATCACAGAAGTAAGAGTGGAAATTCCTGATCAACGCAGCCTTTCGAAGAACGCTGATCTCATAAATATTTTGCTAAAATCAACGACATTTCGAAAAGAATTCATTAAGCTATGTGGCTACTATAACATATGGTTAAATGAGCTACATACTGTTATCAGATATTGGAGTAAGACTTTAGCTCAACAAAGCTTATAAGAGCCATTTTAGTTTCGGTGCTCTATGAAAATCGCTGCTGTGTGGATTTTAAGGCACACAACTGAAATGGCAACCTTACGATCGTAGCTCCGAGAATTTCAGCTTGGATTTCGCATGCTGATTATTTCAGCCTTAAAAGAAGTCAACGTTTGGAAGTACAGTGGTGTAGCGCGTTGGACTAATGAAAGATTTCTGTAGAACTAAACTCCTGTGCGTGGTTTAACAGGGCAGGTCTGATAGCTATTTGATGACAGCCACGGAGTCTCTGTCGATACATTCAGACTTCTTTGATTACTACTGGCTGAGATCTGAGCTCTGTTCGAAGCGAAGTCTGTGTCTGGAAGTGCAATGATGTAATGTGATTGACTGATGAAAGATGTCTGTAGAACTTAACACGTTGTCTGGTTGGTTGGTCGATTTTATGAGCTTTTCTTTTTTGTTTTCTACGACCTGAAGTTGGTGCGGGTACAGAAAGGAGCTCCGTAACGCTTTTGCAGCGGCTTCTATTGACTTCTTTGAAATTTATTAAAGATGCCTTGGAATTTTAGATCCACTCATTGTCTATAACTAATTTTTACTAAACTATGGCTTTGTGGCAATTGTTTTTCATACTTACTAACACATTCAGAACTGTTCGTAGCATGCCGTGCATGTCCTGCATGTCAGCTGAACCCAACTGTACAAATTCTTGTCAGCCCCTGCTCTCTACGCAGTCATGATATCGATATTAACCACAAGCTTGTTTATCATTTGTTGTGTTTGTTTAATTTTACGCTTTTGTCCTGGCCGCAGGCTGAAATGTGTAAGTGCATACGTATATCTGTGGCAACAGCGGCAGTGATAACGGTATGCGTAGCAAAATTGTTACCGCAATGGAAAAAATAAAAACACAACATCAAAAAAAAAAGCAAAAAGGTAAACGCAATGCAACCGTAGTTGAATTTAAGCAATCGCAGGATACACACGAGGTAAGCTGGTAAACAAATCGGCCAACCAAGCAAGCCAGCCAGCCAGCCAGAAAGCGGCAATGGACTAATGTGCGCAGGTGCAGTTGGATTGGCAGACGCCAAATGGCTGGCCGGTCGATTGCAGCGAAGCTGAAGAAGAATGTTGCACGACAGGAGCGCCGTACATTTGAATGTTATTGCGTTTTTATCGCTGTTTCTGTTATTGTTGTTGTTGTACGTCTTTTTCATTATTATTATATCATTAAAATTGCTGTAAGTATTTGAAGTGGCACACAACGTATGTGCAGGCGAATGGAAAAAAATTCGTGTTTTTCGTTTATGACCTTTATAATGGCAGCAATCGCGCATGCGCAGCGTACAGCTAATGAACTCGACGCTTTGCTTATTGCTGACTTGTTGGCTGGCTAGCTGAGGGTCCCTTGCTGCTTTTGATAGCTGCACTCCTTTCGGTTCGGGCATAGCCTTGATCTAACAATCAAAAAATGCACATTTCGCCTGCGCTTCTTGCTGCACATTCGTCAAACGGCAACAACAGCAATAGAGTTGAAAAGAAAGCGCTATACGCTTGTCGTGCAGCGTCTGATTGCGTCAGCGATTGTGTGTTGCATCTGCTAATTAATTTCCATGCGGCAACTTTTTTTGCATGTGCAAATATTTAAGTATAGGTATCGCTCCACGCAGCGCTGAGACAACGAAATAACTGTCTACATATATGTAGCGTATGTGTGTGTGTATGGCGTTTGCTTTGACAAAGCGCTTGGCACATGCAACGGCAGCACACAACGGTTCACGCCCACCTCATTTGTTGGACACGCCCAGTTTTGAAAGGTTTTGTTGTAATTTTTGTTGTTGTTTTGAGCGCTTTACGTGCTTGTCACATTGCTGCACAGCTCCATGCGGCTGA